CGTCCCGAAAAACCCGCACACTACTCCTGGAAAGGTTAATGAGCTCCTGCAGTATGTTTCTTTCCAGGCTTGCCATCTTGCAAATCTTTCCAGATTTGCATATTTCAAGGGTTTTCTTCCTCCATCACATTGAGTGGACCCAAACCAGCCCCAAAGCTGACTGCCTGTAACCCACCCATAGCTCCAATGTGTTTTTCCCACCCCACTGCTGGCCACGAGTCCAATCCCATCTCACAGGTGCAGAGCTGCAAGCACAGCACCAGCACACTGCACTTCAGGAGCACCAGACCTCCACCCCAGAACCCCTCAGCCCCCAGCACAGGGGTTCCACTGCTTCCAGGATCACCACTCACATCCCTCTCACAGGATCTGGCTCCATGCTCCACTCACAAATAAAAAAAACCAGTAAATCAAATTACACCAAGAATTTGTTTCATCTTCCTGCAAATACATCAACGATTTCTCACAAACAACAAGCAGAACGGAACACATTGGTTGTTACTCTGCATCCAGGGAATTAAGACCCCAAATATCTTTGCTGCCTGGAACATGTGTGATTGCTCACAGAAGCAGCAGGTCCTAGGCACAGTGACTTTTCCCACAGGTTCCTGAGGAGACTCACAGGACACTTGGGGGGCACAGTGTTCCACAGAGAGAAATCAGCGCAGCTCACACAGGATGATTTGGGTAAAACTGAACTATTTCACAGCAGTGAAGGGTTGTGTTTCCATACAGGATCAAATCGAGCCCACAGTATTCAAAGCAACAGCCTCAAAGACTTGCAACTGCGTTTCCATACAGGACCAAATCGAGCCCACAGAAATCAAAGCAACAGCCTCAAAGACTTGCAAAAACTAATAATGCTTAAACTCATAAATATTTTGATTCTTTCTTTTTTAACTGCAGGAAAATGAGCCAGTGATACTGCAAATTCAGCTGAAGCTTTCCAGATTCCTCCACTTGACTACTGGTTTGGAAGGGTGATGGGTGTGAACCAATGTGAATTAAAATATAACGTCTCACTGCACAGATCAGTTGATGTGGCAAAGATCATAAGTACAAAAGCCTTTCACACTCACAAATTTCAAATACAGATCAGTTCATCAGACTTGACCTAAATGTTTGGTACCCAGTTCACTTTAAAACAACTCCTGCGCTCAGGTAAATGCCACCCCAAAATACTCAAAACCCCACACTGGCACCTTCCACCGTCCAAGGGACCTCTGTGCTCCATCCCCATGGACCACAAGTTGCAGCTGATGCACAAATGCTGCAGTTGAGGCCACACATGGGATTTCCGTGGGCCAGGAGAAGTCCTGGCACAAACATGCCCTTGAAGAACCCGAACGGCTTTGGCTCTGCTCTCCTCTGAGAGCTCATCTGGTCTCACCTTCCCACCCTATTTTGCAGCATAACAACATTCCAAGGTTCCACCTGCAGAGTCACAACAGAGAGGACCAGAACAGGACCCCTGAAGTCAACTTTAGATAAGGCATTTACGAGTAACTGTGGCAATTTGCTCTTCAATCCTGTCACATTCTGGGTGAAAGTCATGCTTTGCTGCCATGTATGAGGATTGTTTTACCCTTCCACTCTGCTCCCCTGGCTGTCACCTCCCTGCTCACCTCCCGCTGCCCTTCCCGAGCCACACAGACACGTACCAGGGCAAACAGTTCCGTTTGCATTTCTGGTTCAAAGCCTTGCCATGAAGAACACCAACTCTGCTTCTGCTCTCCCCTCGAGCTGCCAAACGCTCGAGGGAATCAGCAGTTGGTGGCCCTGACTTCTCCCCAGGTTGGCTCCGAGCGCTCCCGGGCGCGTTTCGGAGCACATCGCTCTGCTCGCCGCCGAGAGGAGCCAACTGCGCGTTCCTGCATCCTTAGCCGCCCGAGCTGCCACGGACGGCTCGGGAGCTCTGCCGCGGGGCCGGAGAACAAACGGTGCTTTTTGCCCTTGGTTTAGTTTTTCCCTCAAAGAAACCCTTAAATGCATCTTTGCACCCTCATGTTCTAAGGCAAAACAAGAACAGCTGTAGATGGAGAACAGAATCAAGAGAAATAGACTCCAGACTAAGCATCTTTGCCTGTATTTACGGCTCAAAGTTCTGGTGCTTGAGAGTTTTTCCTTTGTAAAAGGATTTCACACACAGGACAGTTTGGTTTCAGTACAGGACACGACATCCCTCCGGGGTCTGCATCCATCACTGAGCCATCAAACACCCGGAGAAAAACAGGCAGTCAGTGAAAGCAAAAGCAAAAGCAAAAGCAAAAGCCAAAAGCAAAAGCACATCACCACGTCCTTTAGAGGTCCCTGTGCCTCACCCTCACTCCCCCACGAGAAGGACACTTGAGCTGACCCCGCCGAGGTGATGTGCAGCAGCCTGGCAACTTCAGCACGCCAAGCCTCATCTTCAGAGGCTCTCAGCAAACTGGAAAAGCTTGTTATATCTTGGCAGAAGTGCAACATATCATCTTCCACCCCTGCCCCGACCCACCAACCGCCGCAGTGTTCAAGGATCTGGCAGTTTCTGGCAGCAGGTGACACGGCAGGAGACAATCCCCACCTGCCCTGGCAGGGCACGGCGAGCAGGGCATGGGCATGGGCTGCTGTGGCACTGCAGACCAGCCCCGGGCACTGCCTGGCGCCAGGAGCATCAGGGTCCTTCTGCCCACAGCCAGGGTGGGCTCGTGTCTCTGCGCAGTGCGGGCAGCTGGGCACCAGCACGGACAGGCACAGGGACAGACACAGGGACAGACACACGGACAGGTGGAGCCTCTGACCAGCAGGAGTGAGACCAGCAGGGACAGACACACGGACAGACACACGGACAGACACAGGGACAGACACAGGGACAGACACAGGGACACAAGGACAGACACAGACAGACACACGGACACAGGGACAGACACAGACACACGGACAGACACACGGACAGACACACGGACAGACACACCGATGGACACGGGGACAGACACAGGGACAGACACACGGACACAGCGACAGACACAGAGACACCAA